CTACTGCTACTACTACAACTACAACTACGACGACTACGACGACGACTACTACTTCCACTACCACTGCACCTGCTGCTGCTACGGCAACAACAACAACGACGACAACAACAACAACAACAACAAGGAATAAGAATGCTGGCCGCTGCTACGGCTACGCCAGGTCAAACCCATCGGCACCATGGAAATCTCGTCCCGGTGCCTCGTAAGCACCTTAGGAGGCAGGGCCAAGCCCTTCAAGCCACAGACCGGACTAGCATAGGGATAACACAGGCTTGTCAAAAGCTAGACCCAGGATTCAGCCGAGTCGACCTGAATTTCAAGGAAAGCTTATGGCCCATGGCCCATGGACTGAGGGGGGAATTCACAACCATGTGTGTCGATTGACTTGATGGAAAAGTTATGGTGTCAGGTTCAACCACAGTCCTGTCGCAAGGACCTAAGGAGATTTGCACCCATACAGCGCTAGGCAAGACTTGATGAGAGGTTTCCGCTACCCGCAAACCTTGCCTGAAGCCTCTGAAGTGATCAAGACCACACGGCTGCTCAGCTTCATTGGGTGTAACTTCGACACAAGCTCAGCCAATGCACGGATTTTCGTGTCTGCCTCAATTCGGGCCGTCAGAAATAAATTCTACACGCTTCGATCGGGTGCCTTTTGGCCTTCATGATATACTTGAAGAGTTTGAACGCTGTGGGATGCACACTGCATCTGCAGTGGCTGCAGTGGCATCAGGGCATCAACTTTGCATGCTTGCAGTGTGGCAGAGAATGTTGTAGATTCGGAATGCCAGATCCTACTACAGTGGTTATTGTACAGTGGCTACATGTTGGGACAAATCTCTGCGGCATCAAGTATGGCTTTGTGGTGTGCTGCGTGCGAAGATCCTCCAGCCGATTTTGCAAATAATAAAGTTGGTCATTATTAGTGTTGTTATCATTATTAGTATCATTATTATCCGTTAAACACATTAATATTAATGTTGGTAAATGTTGGTGATTTTTTTGCTGATTCTTACTGCTGTTGCTATGATCATTATATTTCCAGCTTGAAGGTTTGAGGCTGCCACGGCCATCGCAGCTCTGCCCAGCCCGCTCATCTGCAGAACGGTTCCCCAACTCGAAGTACAAGCAGTCCTTGTGGGCTAACAAGGTGTGATCTCCGGAGCACTTTAGTCAAAACATACCTTGTGGGCACTCGGGCAATCTTGATACGTACAAAATCATCATCTGCATGTAGAAGCACAGTAAACTCATGCCAAGCTGCCCATTCCACGACACGCTGAAAGGCCACTCCCAAGCAGTGGTCATGCATCCTTGGGGTAATCCATGTTTAGGAGGACTACGGCTACGTCGCCAATCTCCCTAGTTGTCCTGAAACGAAAACGAAGCTATATAAGCAAACCAATCGTCAGTGTCGCCAGTGCCCGCAGCTGGAGGCTCAAGGGTGGGATGCCAGCATCGTCACGGGCCCCCTCGTCGGTCCAGCCTGCGGGGATGGCAACAACGGGGGGCAGCGATGATGAGAATGGCCAAAGTATTTATGAACCACGCTGCGGCGGTTACGGTTGTGGTGGTGACCAGTAGTTACGAGTCTGAGAACGAATTAGTCGAGCTTGTCTAAGAAGATTCAGGACAATAGGATGAGCAACAGTAATCAAGGTGGCTACTGCCTCTTGCTTCCACCCCCGTTCAGCCAGTGTCTGTCTGTGTGGAGCCATGGGAGAGCAAGACGTAAGCTTTGGTGCTGATGTACTCGATGATTGCTATCAAGCTTGGATACGACACTCGGCAACTGTGGATGCACAGAAGATGTTTAAGGCCACCTTGTGACGCATCGAAGTTAACCCTTCAGCTACACCCCCAACAACCAAAGCTGACTCACCCTGCACAATCCTGCACCTTACATCCGAAACGCTGGAGCCTTCACCCCCACACCCCCAAAACTCTAGCTCTAAGCCCCAAACTGAAAACACACACCTGTAAAGCCAAAGATATGGGAAACAAATACCGAGTGCATCCTAAATCCCAAACCCCGAGACAACATCTGCAACACCATTCAAGGAGCCAGGCATTCTAAGTCGCACACCATCCTCTCTCGCTCTCTTCTTCTTCCTTCAGGTTAAGGGAGCGTGCGAAGCTCCCCGGCCCATAGGGCCCCCC